TGCTCTTCTCGCTCCGGGAGCTGGTGCAGTGGCTGGGCTTCGCCACCTTCGAGCTCTTCGTGCACCTGCTGGCGCTGCTGGCGTTCTCCGTGCTGCTGGCGCTGCGCGCCGACGGCCTGGCCCCCGGCCTGACCTGGTGGACCGTGTTCGTGCCCTTCTTCGCCGCCGACGGGCTCAGCACCTACTTCACCACCATCGTGTCGGTGCGCCTCTTCCAGGACGGCGAGAAGCGGCTGGCGGTGCTGCGCCTCTTCTGGGTCCTCACGGTGCTCAGCCTCAAGTTCGTCTTCGAGATGCTGCTGTGCCAGAAGCTGGTGGAGCAGACCCGGGAGCTCTGGTTCGGGCTGATCACGTCCCCGGTCTTCATCCTGCTGCAGCTGCTCATGATCCGCGCCTGCCGGGTCAACTAGCGCCGCGGCCGGGCAGCCACTCCGGGTCAGGAAGCGCCGCCGCCCGCGCCGGAGCGCCCGCGGCCTCAGACCCAGCATGCCGCATCTCCCAGCCGGGCTCAGAGCGGCGGGCCCCAGACTGCACTTGAGCTCGGAGTCGCCCGCCCCCGACCGAGGCCTGAGGAGGGAGGGCCCAGGCCGGACGACCCTGAGCTACCGTGAGGGCTGAAGGCCGGAGAAGGGAAGCGCCCATGTGCGCGCTCCGCGTGCGTGCCTGCGTCCTGGGGAGGTGCCCTCCGTGCGAAAGCTGCAGAGCCCCACTCGGGAATGGCCTCTGGCCAGCGCTCCCCTTCAAGCTCCTGGCCGGCCCATCCATCTGGCAAGACTTCTTAGATGCCTGAGCTCTAAAAAGTCAGGAAAACCAGCTTGTGCCCTTTTCCCCGCGCCACTGGGGAGGATGGTCCTTCCCCCAGCACAGCGGACAGCGGACAGCGGACAGCGGCGTGAGGAGAAGCCCCTCCGGGACACTGTGCGGTGACCCGCCCCCTGAGAAAGGAACTCGCTTCCGGGTGCTTGCTTGGCTTCCTGTCCCCGCAGATTGCTGTGCCTCGACTGCCCTCCCACCCGCGGCCGGCAGTGCTTGCGCACCTCGGGCAGGGTGAGCCCCCCAAGGGCAGAGAGGAACTTGCACTCGCACCCCACGGGCCTCGTGGAGTCTGGGATGGCCGTGGCCACCCCTGTGGACCCGGGTCCCACTCACAGATGGATGCCGGTCAGGTGCCAAACGGGACGTTTGCGGAGATGAGAATAAAATGAGAATGTTCTGCTGACAGCGGTGGTCGCCTGAGCTCTGAACCGGATGAATGCCAGCCACACCCTGCCGTGTTGTGCGGCTGGCCACGCCAAGCCCACGGGCGACCAGAGCCTGGGGCAGGTCTGGGGGAGGGGCGTGCCCTGGAGGGTCCCCGTGTCTCTCGGGAGGCCTGTGCGGGTGTCCTGTGTGGGTGTCGGGCGTGGGGTCTGGGCTGAGCTGCCTCTCTGCAGGCCGGCGCCTGGCTGTCTACGCGGGCGCCGCCTGCAAACGGACCATCCTGGCGCCTTAGCTGCTGCGGGTGCCTTGGTCTCTGTTGGGGGAGGGTGGCCTCAGTGTGGCTGGGGTCCCCCCCCAGGAGCCGTGACACGCGCCAGAGCCTAAGTGGCTCAGACTCTGTCAAGCTTTCTGGGGTGAAACGGCCTGGCGGAAGCCAGGGGCCAGCACACTCCTGTCTGGCCGGCGGGAGGCTCGCAGGCCCCTGCCTGGGCCTGGGATAAATGCTGGTCAGGCCGCCCCGGCGTTAGGACTGTCCCCTCCCCAGGACGGGCTTGGCCAGCTCACCTTGGGCTTTCCTTTCTGTTACTAAGTGTTTCATTTCCCCGTCAAACCCTGGCTGTTGGTGGAGCAGCCGCGAGACGGCGGACTGCGGTTTGCTGGAGGGTAGTTGGGGAGGGTCCCGTGGACCGGACACTGGCCTGCTGGGAGCGGAGCCAGTGTGCGCTGGCGCTTGAGTGAGGGCCGGGGAGGCTGCAGGTGCTGTGGGGGCCTGAGGCTGAGTGCTGTAGGGTGGGCACCGGGACGGAGGCGCTGCCCAGGGTCTGCGCCGCCCCCCACAGCTGGGGGTTGAAGGGATGAAGGACGTGGTGGCCGCAGCGCCGAGACGGAGCCTGCCCTCCCTGTGGCGCGGCCTCACTAGCAGCCCTGGGGCCCCTGAGTGCGGGAAGGGGGCCGCCGGCGCGGTGAGCCCCGAGCAGCAGGGTGCAGGCCCAGGGTCTCGCGCGTGGCAGCGCCACCGAGTTGGTTCGGGCGCCGTCCAGGCCGCGATCCCCGGGCATCGGGTTGGCCCGGCCCGGGAGTCCGGAGGCGAGGGGGTACGGGGGTACAGGGCTGCGATTGGCCTGCGGCCCGCCCGCGGCAGCGCACAGCCTCTCGGCCCTGTGGACTCAGTTCGACGGGAAAGGCCTGGACCAAGCCCGGGTCACCGGAGCCGCGGAGAGCCGCGGAGAGCCGCGGGGCCGGAGGTCCGGCGGGGGCTAATCCCCGCCCCGGCGCGCGGACCCAGGGCGCAGAAGCGGAAACGGGGCCGCCAATGAGCGCGCCAGGCG